AAATATGATTTTAAGAAATAAATATTCGTTTTATTCAATAAAAATAGTTGTCCAGGAATTGTCCAGGAATTTGTCTAAATTTTTAAGTAAAAGTCCAGGAATCATTTTATTTGAGTTGGTCACAGTATATGTCACTATAATATATACTTATATTGTATGTGAAATGTATCAAGTTACATTATAAGTGTTTGTAATACTGAATGCACGGAGAGTGCAATTTTAGTGTAAGTCATATAAATTGTATTATATTTTATGTTAACCCTATATAATGCTATTTTACATTACATTAAATAAATATAAATCTGGTTTTTATATAAAACATTGTATTTTATTTTTTACTATTAACTTATATGTTGAGAGTCTAATGATTAGACTCTAATCTATACAGAATATTCTGGAGACCACTCTAAAATTGGTACTTTCCATGGTAATAATGGTATATTATAGATAATTAATTAATTAATTAATGTACCAAGATTTACACCTGTATAAATAAGAAAATTTATGACTTTGTTTTTCAAACATTGCCAAATTGTGATTTAATCTGGCTGAATAGTTATAAATTAATTTTATATTAATAAGGTGTATTGCGTACATTCCAATTAATTTTATTTATTTAATTGCAGCATATTAAAATGTAGTTGTGTAATAATTTTACTTTTTAGTATAAATTTAATATTAAACTACTTTGTTATACAATTGTCTCTATTTTACTTTAACAAGATATATTCTAAACTTTATTTTAAAATTCTTAAATTTTTTTTATTTAAATTAAATAATTATTTTATTTTTTTATTATTAGTATCGCATATGTAATGAATGTACATTTTATTATAAATTTAATTAAAACAGTATTTTAGTTTTAATCACAATCATTTGAATGCCATTATTTGGGACACTTATCCGGCTCAATACAATCCTTGTTGGCGTCCCTGACATACCCTTTCTTACAGAAACAGCCCTCACGACAGACCGACGCACACATCATCTCCTTATCCCTGTCCGCACACGACTTCTCACACGACCCGCACTTTGTATGCTCTTCGTTGGCCTTTTTACACGATTCACCTAGAGCAATCATTATTAATTTTATATGCACACAATACCCTTTTCAACATACCATGAACCTGGACTAATTTGGATTAGCACAGCGACAAACACGATTAAAAATATTACCCGAGTCATACTGATAATTATGTTTATTATAATTCTATGTGTTATTTGATATTATTATAGCAATATGTTATAAAATAAATGCACTTGTGCCTATTAATTAGATTGAACATATTACATAGTAATTAGTTATTTGCTCACATTGTGGGAAGTAATAAAATTGCAAGCAAATTGAAATAAATAAAGTTTTATTGTTCATGATCGAAATAGTATACTGGATAAACAAAATTAGTTTTAATTATCAGTATTCATGTTTCCAATATTTAATAAAGCAATCGACCACCATACATAACCTTACATACCAGTTAGGGCTGCCAACCGTCCTCCTTTAAGAGGGTTGTCCTCCAACTAACCCCTCAAAAAACAGTCTTCAAGAGAGTCTCAGGACAATACAATGTCCTCCAGAGATAATTTGTCACAACATTGCAATTATTTATTTAATTTTTAATCTATTTTTGAAATCAATTGAAAATAGGTTTAAATTATTGTGTAATCAGGAGATGTTAAAATTTAAATGAATAAAATTAAAAATTAAAGTGCCCTCCCAGTGCCCACCTGACCAACTTCATTTTTGACAATATGTCCTCCCGGGCCATGAAAATAGTTGGCCGCCCTATTCATAACACTATATTATTTATAGCTTGCAATAAGTTATTTTATGTTTCATATAACAAACTTTATTTTATATAAAATACCACTGATGGCCATTGAGTTCTCTTTTTGAACTCATGAGTTCCAGTCTTCAGAAATCTATCGATATATCGATAAATTGTTGGCTTTCTCTCTCCTTCTTTAGCAAAATGTTTATACGTCTCGAACTTATTATAGTTAACTATATTTTTAAAGAAGTGCACAACCCTTTCGGCGATAACTTCTCTTTCAGACAATTTCATTATCATTAAACTTACGGTAAAACTCAAGAAATTAATGTTTTCTTATAGTATTGTATATGAACTCAAAATCGAATCCATTTCCCGCAACAATTGCGCGCTAATTACCGCACGCAACAGCCCTAAACTTAGTCTCACTTTACATGACTTATACCTTATATTTGAAATGCTTTAGTATTATATAATAAAATGTATAATTATAATCACTAAATTAATATATTAATAATTAATGATTGATACAATGAAATTACTTTCAAACAAATTACAAAAAACAATAAATTAGTTATAACTAATATTTCTAGATTGTTATTTATTGTCGGTTTAATTTAGTTTCTATAGTGATTTAGTTTAAATGCAATTTGAATCATAACAAAAAAAGTATAATATATTGTGACATTGTGATAAAAAGTTGTATATCTCTTATAATATTGATTATTTGAAATATACAATGGATTTATTAAATATATTTAAAATGAAAACCTATTTATTAATCAATTATGTTATAATAAATTTAAATCTATTTGCAATGAAAACATTTTTATTAGGCAAATATATTTTAATCTACTTAAATATATTTGCAACGAGATCTTATTTATTAACCATAAATATTATAATAAGTTTAAGTATAGTTGCAAAGAAAATATATTATTTTATACATGCTAATTTAAAATCAAAGTATTTATTAGTTTTGAAACTAATTTGTTCCCTAATATTATCGGCCAAGTAACCGTATCAGGACTATTTATTTGGGCGACGTGATAAATGAGCGTGTTGGCACGCGCTATTCAAGATACGTAGCACGTATATTAGAGTCCAATGATGCTCGCACAATTGAACGTATTAATTTTCACTCGATGATTTATGCGGAAATTGATGGTGATTCCTACCACACACACTTAACATTCACTGGATTTAATCACACGATCATTTTGTCGAAAACCATATTTCAATCGCTACGCAAACCTCACGGAAACTGTAGTTCGTATGACGGCTCGCGTGCCGGCGATCGACCCTTCCGTGCCGTTTG